ATTCTTGACAATATTGTTTATACGAATCGTACAATGACCTTTCATCTAAACACTCAAAGTCGGTTTCATCTATAAACAGTTCATATACACTCTTGTTTGCTTCTAACAATGTTTGTCTCTCTTCGGTATATGGAATTTGTCTTGGATTGAACTTTGAAATATCTAATGTCATAAAATATGAGAACAAGTGGTTGTAAAAGTCAGATGTCAAAGTTTCTGCTAAGTCGTCAAAATATTCTGTATCTTGCATATGAGAATCTGACGTTCTGACAACTACATATCTTCTGTCAGAACTTTCTAACTTCATCGGAACAACATTGTTTGAAACCATGACGAAGTTTGCAACATTTTCACAAACTCTTTGGTCTTTATATTTTCTTTCAACAACTCCAACTTTGTCTGTTATAAGACTCTTCAAAGCATCTGAGTTCAAAACTTTTGTTGTATCTATACTTTGAAGTTCATTGCAAACTATAAGTTTCATATTCTCTATTGAAGAGTTAAATTTACCGCAGATGTTTTCTAAGTTTGTCATATTAGGGTTCGAATAGCCCTCTAACAGTTTGCATAAGATATCTGTAAAGAAAGTGTTCTTACCAGTTCCTTGTTTTCCAATTATAATGAGAGCAGTTTCATTTTTAGCACTTGGATGTTGTAAGATGTTTGCAAACCAACATAAGATATACTCATAGACTCTTTCGTTTCCATTGCATATAATTTCTTTGACATGGTCTAACCAAGCTTCTATAACATTTTCTTTCCATTCTACTTGTTCGTATTTATATCCAGTGAAGATAGAATAGAAGTTTGGAGAAGGTGTATAGAACTTTATACCTCGAACTGAAAAATCTTCAAGTTTTGACAATAAGATATCCCAAGCATCTAACATCTTCATACCAACCTGTACGACTTTTATTTTCTTAAGTTTCTGTCTACATTCTTGTTCTGAAACTATTGTTGCTCTTGGTTTGTTAAAGACAACATCCCATTCTTTCATGACATAACATTCTGGGGCAGAGTCTACATAAATGACTAAACGTTTCAAATTCTCGACTGCTTTGTTATAGTCTCGAAATGGACACATATTTCTGAATGTTTGGAAGTCATAAAAATCTGAAACATCTATTCTGTACATTTTTATAAAAATAAAAAAAATTTTTTTTTATTCTTGACTTTGTTGTTGCATTTGTTGCATTTGTTGTTCTTGAGCTATTTGTTGTTGAAGTTGTTCTTGTAATACAATACTTTCACCAGTTGCATCTTCCAATTCGAAACTTTCTGCCGTCATTGACAAATACATAGGACATAAAAGTTTTACAGGAACAAAGTTTGCGTCAACTAAGGTTAAGTTTATGTTTGCTAAAGTGTTTGAGTTCACTAAAGCTGAAAACTCTGCATTCGAATGAACAATAGGCAAACCAGCAGAGAATGTGTTATTTATACGCATAAGTATCTTTTGGTCATAGTAGTTTCTGTCGACATTCGAATAGCACTTTGAACCTAAGTTTGAAACAATATATAAAATAGGTGTACTTAAAGTCAATGGAATAGACATTCCTTGTATGACACCTTTTCCTGTTATAGGAAACTGTTGGTAGTAAAAACCAGAAATAAGTTTTGTATTATAGCTCATATTGTTTATAGTAAACTCAGTCGGACATCCAAACATAATGAAACCTGCTCTAGTTGCAGCACATGTTACACTCGTCCTTAAAGTATTAAATAAGTCAACAAAACCTGTTGGTGGTATATCTGAGTAAGTATCTTCAAAGGAGTATTTTTTACCATTCACAACAACAAAGTCTTCTGGTGTCAAAAGAGCAAAACAGGCTTTAGTCGTCATCGTGTTTAAGGAGTTAGTTTACAATATCGTCCTTGAGGACTTTGTAAGTTTGTTGTTATAGAATTATATGACTCAGGGTTTTTAGTCGTAATAGTATAAACCACTATGTCTTCTGCCATTTACTTAGCAAATAAATTTTAATGAAATGTTGTGGTCGTCAAATATTTTTATGACGTCTGGGAAACTATATTTTAAGTTCAACGTTTCACCTCCTTTCATAACGTATATCTTGTCAATGACATTATATGAAACACCACAGCAAGCAATGTCGGGTTCTATTTCTTTGATGTTTATATCGTCTGCCTCTGTCAAAAGTTTCAATAGTTCTTTCAAAACTTCACGAGGTGCAATGACATATGAGTTCACTTTTACAGGGTTGTGCTCAACCAAGTTTAACATTATACCCAAAGCTTGACAAATCTTCTCCTGAGTTTTAAGTTTGTCTTTAAGTTGTTGGTAGTCATTTCGAATATCTGCAACAGAACTTAACTCTCTGCTAACTTCAGGATATGTTGGTTGTTCTTTTACAGGAACAATTGTTATACCATCTTCGTCCTCGTATGGTTTCCCCACTTCAACATCTCTTTCTTTGACATTGACAACAACACTTTGACTGTTTGTTTGAGTTGGTGAATTTAACTTCACATCTGCCACCGCCATTAAACCTTTTGAAACACTCACGCTTCTATTTTTCGGAAATGACATTTTACTTAGAATAAAAAGATGGACGTATTTGAGTATCTCTTCGAATTGAAGCAGAACAAAGTTTACACACACAAACAATACAAGTTCATTGACAGAGTAGTTCTTTATACAAACAATGGAAAATGTTATAGAATAGCAGTCTTTGCTGAACCAAAATATTTTCATAAAGCAAAGAAAGTTGGTATAACCGAGATGGTGAAAGTTCTTGACGTTGACAAAAATATAACAACAAAACTTACAGATATTTCTAAAGGTAAGTTTTTAATACAATATTATATCAAAACTGGCGTACTGTCAATATTTGACGGAGAGAAGTCAGTTCAAGAACAACTTACTGACCTGCTGCCAAAATCTGCTCGATGGAAGCTGTCGTTATACCAATCTGAGGAGCCCCAGCAGGTTTCATCGAACGAATCTTCAAAAGAGCATCTTCCGTGAAAAGTGCTATTGGTTTTGTAAACTTCTTTGCTTTCAATTCATCTGGACCGTCTCTGTCACCAGTATATTGTATTTGAACTGTACCAACAGTTGAAATACCACCCATAAAGTCTTCTGAGTCAGCAAATGGAATGCCAAGCCAAAAGTTTGAACGGTCTCCATTTGTATATTGAGTTTTTGACCTCCTGTATGAGTCCATACTTTCACATATGGCATAATAGAACTTTGCATTTCAGGGTTAATGGTTGTTGTGAAGTTGTTGTTAAAGTTCATAGCATCTAATGTCAAGTTGTATGACCTCATATCCTCAACTGTAGAATATTCTTCTCTTGGATAATATTTGCCATCTATGTTTATATGATATTTAATACCAGGGTTGTAGAAACAAGAATAGTCATTTATAGTTCGTCTGAACAGTACAAACATAGTATCTGCATGTTTCATTGCAGTTGTTAAAGCAATATCTGTTCTTGCACCTGGGTCAGCACTTTGGTTTCCAACTTCACCTGCAAAGTCTTTGACAGATATTTGGTGTATAGGGAACATAAGTGGAACTGCAATATATTTGGCAGCTAAAGCATTTGAAATATCTGGGTCCAACATATAGACTGCAAGTCTGCTTTCTATTCTCTTGCATTCAAACTTTTCGCATGTGAACTTAACTGGGTCCCAAGCATCTCCAGCAGCATTGAAATAATAGTTTACTTCAGTGTTGAGGTTTGAGAAACCAAAGTCTAAGTCAACTTTGTTTTTGCAAAAGTCGGCGAATGACATTTTATTTGTTCCCACTACTTCTGTAAGAGTGAATGGGTCTTGTGTTGGTGCAATGACTAAGTTATTTTTGCTTGGAGTAAGTTCGATAGAAATTTTTCCTGCCCAGTTTGGCAAGTATCTTAAAAACCTGAAGATGAGGAAAGATGACAAAGGAACTCTAAGTTTCAGTTTTACTTTGGTTACTGCTGCTGCAGTTTGTCCAGAAAGGTTAACATAAACTCCTGGAACGTTAGGGTCAAGTCTTCTTATTTTCTCAATGGTGGCATACTGGTCTGTTTGTTCTCTAGCTTGTGGTTGTACTGAGTTTCTCAAAGCGAACCATTCATAGTTTGCCCATGTTACTGTTTGAACTAAGTCAGAGTTAGAATATATCTTATATCCCATGAAAACTTCTGGAGCATATTGGTATCCGACATAGAAAATTCCATTGCAACCTTTCTTGTCAGACAACTTGGCAGAAGGTTTTATTTCAATGTCTTGTTCCACGTATAAGAAAGAGTTGTCAATAGAAATTATATGAAACCTGTCGCATGCAATATCTACTGTTGTTGAAGAACCTTCTCCAAACTCACCTACGTTTCCATAAGAAACAGCAGTTGTATATTCGTAAGTTCCAGGAACTATTTCTGACCTTCTAATGGCATTGTCGCATTCGTTATACCATTCGGAAACATTTCCATTCATAGCATCCAAAACTGTTGGCGTTATATTCTGAGCGGCGTACATTTCATATGAGTAAAAATATAGAATAGTTGGATTTATATGTCATAATAGAACCCACGTGGACCAAGCTTTACTTTCTTCCTGACTGAGTTTTTAACTCTTCTTTTTCCTTCATTGCCCTCTGCTTGAAGTTGTTGCATCTTTGCATTATGTTCATCTAGTATGTTGCAAATTTCCCATGTCCTTTTTGCCTTTTGGCTCTGGTCGCCCATCTCAGGTAACCTATATCCTAGAAAGAGTTTGTCATAGTCTGTATTTGAGTCTTTGCGTATTGTTTGCATGACTCTTTCCTGAGTTTCTGGTTCAAGCTCTTCAAACAGAGCTTGTCCATATGGAATAAGCTCGTTTCCAAATATATGTTTTGTAGCCATTCTGGTTTTCTTTCCATGTTACCAACTATATCTTTTGTGAATGGGAAAGCTTTTACCCAATCTTTCAGTCTTGCGTCGTTTATTTCTGTAGTTGGTTTTATTTTGTCAAGGAACATGTTTTTCAATACTAACATTTCATTTGGTACTGTCCATTTGAGTTTTCTTAAATATTCATCCCTTCTCATTTCATTGTCTGCAAAGTAAGTTTTTATGACATTTTGTAAACTTTCGTTTGCAAGGTCATGTACAATAGGTTCTCTTCCTTCGCCCTCCCTAACTTTCTTTCTAAACTCTTCACCAAATATACCATCTCTATGGTTCTGTGTAGTTCTTTGAGATAAATGTTTTAGAACGTCAGGTGTTATATTTCCATCAGCCATGTTCATTTCATACTGGTCCAAAATATCTGCATGTTTCATATCTTTCAATGGCATTAAAGCCGCGCTGAAAATACCAGCTATATCTGGTTCACCATTGACTTCCATTGCGTCTACAACTTCTTGGAATTGTGGTTGTAAGTTTATGAACCACCTATCTGGGTTAGCTTTATGACCCCATCTCATTGTAGTTCCATCGTCTGCAGAAACAAAAGTAGGTTTGTTTCCATCTTGGTTAGGTTCTGAATGAACTTTAAACAATGTTTCATTTCTATATGTTTTCTTGAAATTTAACCTTTTATTTTCACCGAGTTCATCCGAAGATTGAACGTTAAATGCTCGTAAGTAAAAAGGGTTGTTGTATTTGTGTACATTTTTTTTCAGTTCTTCCATTCTATGCTGGATATTTTCATCTGATGTTGGAGTCTTTTGTATGTCGGCAAACATTTTTCGATATTCTTCTACTATGTCAGCCGAATTTTTTTTAGACTCTTGGAAATATTCCATATTCTCCGCATACTCTTGTTGAGGGTCAAGATTTTTCGGCTGTTCCAAATCTTCATCTAGTTCTGTGAAGTTAGTTTCCAAAGGAAGGACTTGTTCGTTTCCTTCAGGCTCTTCTAGCTGTTGTTGCTGAACTATTTCTTCCATGTCTGGTTGTATCTGAACTTCTTCCTGTGGAGTTTCTTGTACCTCATCTGCTGGCATTTCATATATTCCGAGACCGTTTTCAACAATTTCCCTATCTACGTCATCCGCATTCATAAGCTTTTGTTCTTTCGTTCCGTCTCTATTTTTTACGCGTTTCATGACGAAAGTTGAATTGTCATTTAGCTCTGACATCAAATATCTCGGAGTAAATTCATCCATGTCATTTGGATGATATGCTATTAAATCATATCCCTTAGCGAGCTTGTATTTTCCAGGTTTGAGATTATATCCGTTTTGGTGCTGAGCCATAAAGCTAAATAGGTTCGGGTCAGTATTTCCATCCTTGAACTTTCCAATAGCTTCTTTATATCTGTCACTAAAGTCAACAGTATCTGGGAAACCACACTCTTCTTTAAGCATTTTTAAGAATTCTTGGTTTCCTTGTTCTCTACTTCTTTTATGTCCTTGTTCTGTTTGTGGTTGTTGTTGTGCAGGGTTTTGAACTGTTGGTTGTTGTGCTGGTTGTGGAGGTGGTTGTTGTGCTGGATTTTGAACTGTTGGTTGTTGTGCTGGTTGTTGTGTTGGTTGTTGTTGTGGTGCATGCCTGTGTCTGTGTCCATGTGACGATGTAAATGTTTTAGGTAGTCCTGGTGCAGGTGCTTCTCTTGGAGGGTTTGGTGGTATATAAGTTCCACCAGCTGGCACATATGTTCCATCTGCAGCGTAATGTCCTACCTGACTTTTCGTTCTTAAGAAAGCATTTACTAGGTCTGTTTTGGTCTGTTGTAACTCTTTTTCTTGACTTTCCACAACAGTTGCTCTAACGGCGTCATAGGCACTTTGAACTGCCTGTCTCGTTGCTGCATCTGTTATTTTCGTCATATTTTGTGCTACTTCTCTTAACTCGTTGTCGAAACCTTCAGACTTCAGTTTCTTTCCAGATGAGAAGTCGTTCACTTGTTTCACCTTACTATGAAGAGCTTCGAAGGCATTCTTAAAGTCAGCATTCATTAAAGCTTCATTTGAACTGTCTTCATCCGCTTGTATTTTTGTCCTTATTGACCCTATGAGTTGGGCTGCTTTAGCGTTGGCTTGGGCATCTAACCAGTCATTGTTAGCTTTTATATATTCTGCGCTTTTCATTGCCTTTTGCATAGCCGCGTCGTTATTTTTACTTTCTTGTGCTAAGTTTTCATACTGTACGGTTTGGTTTTGCAACTGTAAAAGTTTTTCTGCCTTTACATTTGCTTCAACTTCTTTTTTATACTCATCGCTATCCATATATGTCTTCAGGGCTTTTTGTTTTATCTCTTCATCTTTCAGTATTTTATATTGAGTAGTATGGTTTTTCAAATTTATGACATCTTGTTCCATTTTTGCTACTTCTGTTGCTTTTTCTGACACTTTTTTCGCATATTCCTCTGTACTTAGTTCTTTCAGTTGTTCTTCTTTCTTCTTTTTCTCTACGTTTAACTCATTGAGTTTCTTTGTGTGTCTGTCATATTCTAGTTTCTTTTCGTTTTCACTTATTTGTTTCTGTATGTCTATGTTTGACTTTTTGACATCTGATATTTGATTTTTGAGTGAACTCAAATTCATTTGACTTTGAGGGTTATAGGCTGTTCCGTCTGCAGCTCCACCATAGCCTGCCATTTTCGCTAAAAGTGCCGCTCTTAAACCTCCACTCTGTGCACCAACAACTCGGTTTAAAAGCATAGGATTGCTTGACATTTGTTGCAACATAGTGGGGTCATTCAGCATTTGTTGTTGCAACTGTTGTTGTGGTGTCAGTTTTACTATTGGATGTTTCAATGCTCTCTTCCTCTTACGTATATTCTTACGTAGCTTACGTGGCATTTTAAGTGAAGTTAAAAAGCGGCTTTTGACAGACGTTTTATTGTGACTTCTTCGTAAAGACTTTATTGTGACTTCTTCGTAAAGACTTTGTTATGACTTCTTCGTAAAGACTTTGTTGAGATTTCTTCGTAAATGAGTGTAAATGACCCAAAAATATATTTTAGGTGAAGAGGTGAGATTTCACCTCTTTTTTCACCTCTTTTTTCACCTCATGAATTTTCATGAATTTCTTCGTAAAGACTTTGTTAAGACTTCTTCATCTAATTTCTCATGAACTTTCTTGTCTATGTTTTGTCAAGATTTCATCGTAAAGACTTTGTTGAGATTTCTTCGTAAATGACCCTAGTAGTATATTTTTGGTGTAAATTTCATGAAAATTCAAGAGGGTGAAAAATTAGGTGAAAAAACAGGTGAAATCTCACCTCTTCACCTAAACATTATTTTTGGTGTAAAATTCATGAAAATTCAAGAGGGTGAAAAATTAGGTGAAAAAACAGGTGAAATCTCACCTCTTCACCTAAACATTATTTTTGGTGTAAAATTCATGAAAATTCAAGAGGGTGAAAAATTAGGTGAAAAAACAGGTGAAATCTCACCTCTTCACCTAAACATTATTTTTGTCTGATTTTACGAAGAAGTCTTGACAAAACATTTACGTTCATGTTTGACAAAACATTTACGAAGAAGTCTTGACAAAACATTTACGAAGAAGTCTTGACAAAACATTTACGATGAAATCATGACAAAACATTTACGAAGAAGTCTTGACAAAACATTTACGAAGAAGAAGTCTTGACAAAACATGAAAACATATATAATTTGTGAAAAGTGAAACATTATATAATGTTTTCGACCAAGAAGACTAACAATTTTCCGAATAAAAACTTCATTTATACTAAACATCTTCGGGGCTAGAAGGGGCGCAGCCCCTGGAAGCCCCACTACCTTTTTTTTTTTTTTTTTTTTTTTTTTTTTTTTTTTTTTTTTTTTTGTACGGTATGAAAAATCAATGTTATTATGCAATTGATCTATTAAATTCAAAAACTCCACTTTGAAGTTGATGTCAAGTTAGATTTGACAAAATCAATAACCTTATAAGAACCACATAGCACAATTAGTGCTATACTCATACATATTCAAACTTGCACTGACCAAAAAAGATTTTTTATGATTTCGATTACATTGAAAGAAGATTTACAGGTATTATCAATTGAGTATGTAATTAATGGATAATAAGATTCAAAATATGAAAGTTATCCACTTTATATGTGAGAGATTTTCAGACTTCGGGATAAATAAAAATGTAAATATTGAAATTTTGACGGTAATGCGGTAAAAATTAGAGTAAATGACTGCTATGCAAAAGTTACTGGTTTAACAATGTGAGTTTTGGGTGATGGGCCAATAACAGTTTTTGTCATAGGTTCACAAAAGTAAAAAATTTAGCGGACGAATATTATTAGAAATCATATGAAGAATCAGATATCATTTTGGTCGAACATGAAATAATCAATTGAGTCTCAGAAAAATATTGAATTTCTTCAGAATATTGTCCAAATGTAATTTTGTAAAACAATAATTTGATCATGACAATCATAATTAAACATATTTATTAAATTAGTTGTTTTTGAAATAATCCATACAAAAGTAGAAATTCTGAGAGATAAAATTACCGTACCTTGAATAACCGGCGAACCATTCAATTGGTCATAGACCAATTTGAGATACCCTTTTCAGAGGAATCTAAAATGTTGTTTATATGGTTATTTATATATTATTTAATCATTTTCTTAAATAAAAATCATAAGTTCTCAATTTTTCTTCATAACGATTCTTATAAATTTTAATGTTTTTACTATGAGTGCTAAATATTATTAATTACTAAATGATTTTAAAAAGAAAAAACATGTTTTTACTTTGTACGTTAACATACGTTAATATCACTTCGGCTATGGATAGAGGCCAACAGCGCCTTATTAATGAGAAAAACATTAGCCTCTTATCAATGAGATGGAAGTGTATTCGTGGATTACAATTGTGAATTCAGATACACTTCCATCTCAAAAAATGCAATCAAATTTGTATTGAATTGCATTTTTTGAATACATGCTATTGGCAGTTGGGTTTTTAGTGCATTTATATTACATTGGTACTAAGGCTCTTGGAAAATTTACAAAATAAATTTAATATTTTGTAAATGTTATCGGTTCTTACGCTTTTGGAAGGAGGGATGGTATTTTTGGAGCATTTCTATTACATTGGTACTAAGGCTCTTGGAAAATTTACAAAATAAATTTAATATTTTGTAAATGTTATCGGTTCTTACGCTTTTGGAAGGAGGGATGGTATTTTTGGAGCATTTATATTACATTGGTACTAAGGCTTTTGGAAAATTTACAAAATAAATTTCATATTTTGTAAATGTTATCGGTTCTTACGCTTCCTCTCTTCATCAAGATGCTTCCTCACTCCATCATGCAGCTTCCGAGTATATAAGAATTTCCGAAAAAGTGACACCCAAAAAGTGATACTTTCAATAGGGGGTAACACTTAAAAAGTGACAATTTAAATTTCACAATAAATAAAAATAATAAATTTTTAGTCTATTAAATTATTCTTTTCTTTGAAATCCTCCAAAAATTCTTCGAAATGTTCTAAAATATAATCTGGAGAATTATAACAAAATTCATTAATTTCTAACAGTTAGTATACATATCATGGGTACGGCAGCACTGCGCGCCTCCTTACCATATATGAATTTGACACTTTACGAAACCGTTAACGTATATTTTACAACACAAACGACAACACTAACTTAACCTTAAATATTTACACAGCCACCAACCACTTCACCTCACTAATGTTTTCACAAACGACTTCACTAATGTAAAAATAAACGTTCTCACTTACAAAAGTATTGCAACTCCTCCCATTGCTGTGCTTCATATAACAGCTCATAATCTTCTGACTCACTTTCTTCTTCATATAGGTCAAAATCACTGTCATAGTTTATACCTGTAAGTTTTGACAAAGCTAATGAAACACGCTTACCGTTTGTATCATATGCTTGTATAAACTTTCCATTATGCTTGTAGTCATAAACGCTCAAACTAACTTTACCCTTTCTCCCTCGTATCTGATAGAATGTATTTTCACGAGGAACGAAGAACAAATTCTTGAACTCATGACCGTTGTAGTTTGTTATCTCAATAGTTTTCGTCATTACATCCAAATAAAAATTTTCAGTAAAAATAAAACTAATGAAATATTTTATTCCTCACTGTCGTCTGCTTTCTCCAACTCTTCTAACTTCTTCTTAAGTTCAGTAATGTTGTCCTCATGAAGTTTAATCTTCCTTAATATACCTTCTCTATCTAATGGTTGTTTTATCTTTCTAAACTGAACTCTACCATCCTTCATAGTATGAATGTAAAAACCTTCTGGAATAGTTCCTGATTTAATGTAATCTACCAAAAACTTTTGTTTCATTGCTTCAGTGACTTTAGTCGTCATTTCAATCAAATAAAATTTTTAATATTAAATAAAAATAACGTTATTTTTTCAGTAAGGAAACGCAGGAGTTTTACGATTTATTTGAGGAGTAGGTTCTGGTTTAAATGTTGGAGTCGGTTTAGGAGTTGACTTTTGAACAGGAGTTTGTACTTCCATAGGTTCAGGAGTCATTGAAGGTTTTGCTTGTGAAGGTGTTGGAGTTTGTTTAACTTCAGCTACTTCAGTATTATTTACAACATTTGCTTTATTTCTTTTCAACATCATAACTGCTCCTGCTGTAGCTAGCAAACCTAGTGGGAGACCATATCTTATATAAGGACTTGACCAAATGCTATTTTTGACAGGAGCTGGTGGAACACCTAACCTTGGTGAGACTGCTCTTTGCCATTGTGCAGCTCGTAAGAAATATTCAATAGGTGCTCCATAATCGTTTGGTAAAGTTTGTTTCATAGATGGTGAAGGTTCACGAGAGCTTGATGAAGAACTCATTTATAAGCTTTAAAAATAAACGTTCATCCTTTATTCCTCACTGTCGTCCGTAGCTAAGTTATAGTCATCTAATCTTATTATGGGGATGCCATTAGCACGCACCTGAATGGCAAAGCAACAATCCTCATAAATCCAATAAGTGGCTTTGGTACATTTTCAGTTGCTAGTTCAATAGGTCCTTTAACAGACAATTTGTATGTTTATTGGAGCAGTAGATGTTTGACCTTGCTGGAAGCAAAAGTCCACTTCTGTTAGAAAACCACATAAGAAATGTGTGTTGTCATAGCTATCCCATTTATGTTCCACACTACCATCATCCACCAATGACCTCATAACATCTTCATTAAATCCTATCATATCATTGTTTTGTATTGCAAGCGTTCGCAACCATTTCATAAAATACAGGTCCATATGATTTTTCAGGTTCTGCAGGCATATTTCCATAAGCTCCCATGGAAAGCTGAAGATATTTAAACTTAGGGTTCTCAAAATTAACATAATAGTTGTCTTTCTTTCTAAATAGTGCCAAATACTTTTAACATTAATAGGCGTATAAGCTGCTGTAAATGTTGCACTTGAACTATCTGTATTCTTTGAGAATGAACCGTCCATAGGAATCCAATCCATAACTTTAACAGGAAAACATAAAGCCTCGTTTGTATAATGTTCTACAAGTTCTGTATAAATGTTAGGGTCTAAAGAGAATGACTTTGGATGAATGAAACATTCATTAAAATCCATCTTTGTTCGAAATAGTTGGGTTACAGTTGTAATAGTAACTGTTCCACTAGCTTCTACTGCCTTCGTTATCATAGTGAATGGTTCATTCCATGGAACAAATTTATTTGTCGGTGGATTTGAATCTGAAGCAAATGCAACTTTAAGAGTTGGATTGAAAGCAATGAATCATTTACAGATATAGATGTGCATTGTAATGCGTCGCTACTGAACTTTACTTTAAGCTGAATGTTTCCTGCAAAAGCTGGAATAAATCGAAT